GCTCTTCAGGTTAGGAAAAAGGTTGCCTTACTTAAGGACCTAATTTATGCCTCCCTTTCGGGCAACTACTGAATCAGTACTGCCAAAGTAAGTCCATAACTGCCATGTTTAGTGGATGGAGAGTAGATATCTTTGAAATTGGAACAGATTTCCACCCGGAAGCCTTCTAAACCTCTCTTGGCTCTACAAAGAACTTAAGCATTTACTTTAGAGGAACATGGTCAGGAAGTATCAAAAATTTAGATGCAAGCTGGATGTCTCTGTGAGGCAGGTTCAGTTGCAACCTCATAGAGATCCTTTTGCTTGATAACCTTACATGTGCTTTACCTAATGCATCGTACCTAATGAATCTTTACAAGTTCATTATGAGAGAAGTAAATCTTTGCTGTTGCTGTTTTATAGGCAGAGAATTTGAGGCAGTGACAAATGCAATGAATAGAACTGCTGAATCCCACTTTGTTCAGAGGGAAGAGGCCATTGGGACAGCAGGTGCTGGCCCAGACTCACCTTCAAAAGCTTGGTTGACAACCCCAGTTGCTGCCTCTTTGTCTTCAAGGTAGTGTCTCAAGGACAGTGGAGAGTGTCTTATCTCTTGCAGTTTGTCCTGAATATAAGAGAAAGTAGGTCTGTTGTGAGGTTCTTGGGCCCAGCATCTTGTCATTAAATCACACCTGGAAAAAAAAATTGTTAAAATGCAAACATTAAAGATAATAGTGTCATTCATTTCAACACTTACCATTAAATCATCTGAGAAGCAAGTTTGGCCTAGATTTTCAACTTTGGAAAACTTTGTATGTGGTACAAACATTATCATCAGCTGCTGAGGGAAGGGAAAACAGATTCCTGATCAGTTGTCAGGAATACTCACTATGAATGCTTTTAATTTTTCAAGGATGGATATTTTTGAGATTGGGAGCAGCTATAACATTAAAAAACAAAAACAAAACCAAAACACATTTGCTATTAATATATGCTCTCACCAAAGAAGTCACCAATATTTTCTAAGAAAGCAGATAAGGAGGTAATTCTTTCTGAGAAAAAAAAAGGATGTCTAAAACCAGAAATGAACCTGAAGCTACCAGCTTATTTAGTCCTCCTTCAACTCATGCTGCCTCAAATTTAGGGGAAGTTCAAGGCAAACCCTCCAGCACAGCGAGGGTTAATTTAGACTTCTTCCTCCAGACCAAAACAAATAGGAGTAAGTTTTCCCATCAAAGGCAAAAATGGCGTGAGCTTCCTCCGGGTGCAGAGATCGCAGCCCACCCTGCACAACACCCTCTTTACCACGCAGTGGAAAACTGCCCCTCCTGTTTGTCTAAAGGAGAGGGCTGATTTATAGTGCTTACTCAAGGTGAGCCCAGGCTACACAAAACCAAATCCTACAAAAGCCAGGGGGAGCCAGGCTGAAAACCAAAACACAGCCAGCACCTGGACATGCTGAGCGTTGGGAGTGGAGAGAGGTCTTAGAGTCTCAAAACCGGAGAGCAGCGTTTGAGCAGCCTGTGAAAGGCCGGTTTCAGGAAGCTGCCACTGGAATGCGGAGTATTCACCTCTAAGCCCTAAGTTCAAATCCTCTCCTGACAAACAACATCCTAGACCTGCTGCTATGTGATACCAGGCGTTACTGAGTTATGTGAAATGAATTGGCCTGCTCAGATCCTCGCTTATCCATCTTAAAAAGGAGCCTGCTGTCTTTCACCACAATTGGGTATTTTTACAAAACTCTTGGTGACAGGTGGGAGAAATCTCTTGACTTCTGATTTTTCAATTATATTTTTCATTAAAATATTGGCATTGGGTGACAAACGTGAGTAGAAAAATTGTTTCAGAACCACTTTTCTTTGACCTGTATTGTGTGGAGCTGGACAGAGTGATTCTGGTTTTTTCAAAGTATCCAATGAAATCTTGAAAATCCATTTTAAGAATCTAAAAAGTGGCAGTGACTTTCTAACACTTTGAGACATTTTGTCTGCTTATTTTCAGGTGTACTGGTTATTGATGGCATTGGAAATACAGACAGGAAAGTACTGAATAGGACTCAAAATGAGGTGAAATAACTCTGGTTTTCCTTCTGCTGCCAGCAAAGTGTCCATCACATTGAATTCAAAAGCCAGCCTTGGATGCTGGCATCCAAAGCATCTGCTTTCTAGTCATGCTGGTTGGTAGGATATCCAAGAAAATGACATGAGTTCAGGTTAGCACTTGGGGTCTCATAGGTAGAGCTTTGTGCAAGGTGTAGCAATGAAGTAAAAGAGATGACTGACTACACTGCTCCTCTAACAGAAAGGAAGAAGCAGACAGCCATAGGCCAACAAGGGAGAAAGAAACAGGAAAGGATATATAAGTCATAGACTCATAGAATGGTTTGGTTGGAAGGGACCTTAAAGCTTATCCAGTTCCAACCCCCCTGCCATGGGCAGGGACACCTCCCACCAGACCAGGTTGCTCACAGCCCCATCCAACCTGACCTTGAACACTTCCAGGGATGGGGCAGCCACAGCTTCTCTGGGCAACCTCTGCCACTGCCTCACCACCCTCACCGGGAAGAATTTCTTCCTAATATCTCATCTAAATCTATCCTCTTTTCATTTATGAAACAAGAACATGACAAATGTGGATTCTGAATATTTTTGTATTCCCAAGACCAATCTCTGTCTTTCTAAATAACTAATTTTTTATTGGACAATCTGCTTTATAAAGTTTTGTTACTAAGTGGGGATATTCATTGCTGCCAAAATATTCAGAACTGGAATTTTCTCATTGTAATTATATTCCATATTCTTGTTTCCTAAACCAAATTGCTTGCTGGTTGGCTTAAAATATTAATACCAGATAGGACTGATATTGTTCACAAAGTATTTAATGCAGATAGGCTTTAGATTTCTAATGACAAAAACTTTCATGCTGTCTCAGAATATATCTGCAAATTTTGCACGGACAGTTATTTGTGGCAAGATTTTTAGCTTTCAAGGCATGTTGTGACACCCAAAGTTTTAAGTCACATGGCATAAACTTTCACTAGCCCAGAAATGCATCAGCATGAGACCAGTCAAAAGGGTAAAAGCTAGGTTAATATGCCGAGATGTACATGAATGACAGCTTGAGTACATTCCTGTATTTTTTTGAGGAGCCAGACATGGGCTAGCAAATAGTGCATCGCTTCAGTATAAGGAAGAGACTCAGAGGATTCCCCTACTTCATGGGGAAAGCCTTTCAGGAAGAAACAAAAAATAACAGATCCAAACACAACATCAACTAAATGTTTATGTTAGGTTTAAGAACTAGCCTGTACACCTAGATGTACACCTACACACCTAAACTTCACAACTGTGTTTTATCAGGGTGAGACAACTGTAACCATATGTCCAATAGAGCTGCATATGTGGGGCAAATAAGAATTCGAGAGTCTGGAAAACCAAAGAATGAATATTCAGTGTCCAATATTGGAGGCTGAAAGTAAACAATTCCTGAAATGCACTTTAGTGCGTAGAAGCTACAGGACATTACCAATTTCTCTCACATGAGATGGAAAATATAACTGATATGGTGGTTTTCTTAGAAAAGGAGAAAAATTCTTGGGATGCAGAAGAGCCTCTGCTTTCATCTGATGCATTCTGAGCAAGCTCTTCTTCTCTCCCACCTTCCAAATCCCTCCAGGGGGTCATTCCCAGAACCAAACACCAAAAGCTCTTAGTTCCCAAACTGAAGTTTCTTCACCAAACTTAGTTGTGTAACTTTGCATGGGAGTGAGCATTTGGTGAAACCGCAGCTTCAAGACAGCAAGTGGCACCCCGCTTGTACAAATTCTCCTGACTGATCCACAGCCTTTGAGGATCTATGTTAAATTAGCTCAGTTCAGTCCAAACCTTGCCATGCTCTTGCACGCAAGCCTCACACCCAAGTGGCTGTGCCTGATGTGCTCTCTGACTGCAAAAATAGCGCCATTCATACATCTCATTCATATTTCAATAAATGCAGCTCATTTATAGATCCCCAGACCCCTTTTCTAGTTCATTACCAAGCTTTACCTATACATACTTCTTTGGGGGAAAGCAGATGATTACCCCCTGGAGTAACATCTTGTGGAGGCATGGGGGAGACTTTCTCCCCCCTGCCAAAAAAAAAAAAAAATCCCATTTCCTTAGCGCTTTTACACCCTATGGTTTCTGTGTCAGCCCTACTTGCCCTTGCAGTGTAAGCCTAACACAGATTCCTAAACACTTCTCAGCTGAAGTAGTTTGGCCTTTGAACTCTTTTCCTATCAGTGATGGTTTGTTCTGTTAAATGACAATGAGCAAGCCAAAGTGCCAAGGAGACAATTACTGACTGCTGACGTCCTGATGCAGGTTCAAAACCACAAGGAG